CGGGTCACAATTCGCAGATGGTCTGGGCCTGGGCACTACTGCAGCAAGTGGCTGAGCCTTATCCAGGGGTAGTGCACCCGGAGTCTGATACACTGCAGCTGCGTGACCAGGAGCTTGAGCAGTAGGGGTCTGTGCTCCCCCACCTTCCTGTGATGCAGCTGGATCCATTGGAAATAAACTAGCATGAGTCATGGTGTCCATGAACTGCAACATATGACCCATGATCTCCTAGAAACCCGGTGTTGTCATAAAGTTCGCTGGGGTAGGCTCGACTGCGGGCACCTCGCCCTGCTCCTCAACGATAGGATCTCCCACAAGATCTTCTGGTGGTGCTATTGGGACCGCTTTGGGACGCCCTCGTCCCCTACCCTGGGCCGGTGCCCTCCCCTGGCCTCTAGCAACGAGGGGAGCAGCTCCTCCCGGGACTAGAACATCAGTCGTGCGTGTCCTCACCATCTATGAAAGAATAGAAGAGAGAAATTTAGTATACCAACCACTGCACAATAGGAAATGAATAAAGAGTAGTTTTCCTAATACTTTATAGCCTCTCGAAGATAAATACAGACGCCTCTGTACCAATCCGCATGACTCTATTAGGTTTGCCCATGACTTGTGAGACCTACGTGAACCTAGTGCTCTGATACCATGTTGTCATGACCCATTTCCATTATAGGTCATGATGGCCCCCAACACCATTGTCGAGCAAGCCAACGCAGAATTATAAATAAGCTCTCATTTTACTTTTACCGAAATAAACGCAGTAATTTCTTAAGTTAATGTTAAAATAAGTAATAACCAGTAATGTACCAAATATAATTATACAATTCCCAAAAGAATAGTCTACTAATGTGTGTGCCAAGACCTGGTATCACAAGTTGTGATCATCTAGTAGAATATACAAAAAAATAAATCTATCCTATTGTCCAAAATAGAATAGACAGCAAAAAAATAAATAAAGAGAGAGAATTCATCAAGCTGCTGAACGGCACAAGAAGGGAGCAGGTCACCGTGGAAGCCTCAGAATATGCTCAGGGATGCGCACTAGACTAATAGCCAGTACCTGCCTCTGATCATGTACAATTAAGTACAGAAGTGTAGTATGAGTACATAAACAATATGTACCAGTAAGTATCATGTCTAATCTCGAAGAAGTAGAGAGTAATTGCTCCCCAATTATATATTCATGTCTGCCTATTGCTGTCTTTAATTACATTTGACCTCATCGCATGGTTGATTCGCGAGCGGGGTAATAGATGCATCTATGGTTCGTGCCGTTCGACCCTCGGCAGTACATAATTTACTTTTTATGTTAGATCGGGCCGTACGACCTCGACACTACTTGCGCATGCTTTACTCAGTATTTTTCTATGAATTGATCTTCATTATTTTTCCTGGAATGAAAGTTGCCAACTGTGACATTATCTAAGAGAAGACATATTATTTCTTGCTATACATTGCTAATTATTTGTTCTATCCATGCTCAGTATAATTCATTTCTCATATTATTGACCCTAGTAAGTGTCAAGTCGACTTCTCGTCTCTACTTCTTTGAGATTAGACATGATACTTACTGGGTACATATTATTTATGTACTCATACTATACTTCTGTACTTAATTGTACAGGATATGAGGTAGGTACATCTTCCTATTAGTCTGGTGCGCATCCCCGAGCACATTCTGAGGCTTCTACGGTGAGCTGCTCCCTTCCTGTGTCATTTAGCAGCTTGATGGAGTCTCTCTCTTTATTTATTTTTTTGTTGTCTATTCTATTTCGGAAACTAGGATAGATTTATTCTTTTGTATATTCTACTAGATGCTCACAACTTGTGACACCAGGTCTTGTCATGCACATTAGTAGACTATTCTTTGGGGAATTGTATAATTATTTTTGGTACATTACAGGTTATTACTTGTTTTAACTTTAATTTAAGAAATTACTGCATTTATTTCAGTAAAAGTAAAATGAGAGCTTATTTATAATTCTGTGTTGGCTTGCCCGGCAATGGTGTTGGGCGTCATCAAGACCTATAATGGAAATGGATCGTGACAATAAGCATTATAAATAGTTTGAGCATTTATTCAAATTGAGGCTATTTCTTCCGAAAGTTTAGACAACTCCTCATCTTCAAGTGCTAAACCTTTATAAACAGTTTCATACCAAAATTGAGGACCTCCTAAATTTATAGTAGGATTTAACAAGGCAGCAACACCATAAATAAGGAAAATAGTGAAAAAATATTTTTTAAACTTTTTTCTCATAGAATCACTAGTTGGGTTAATTTCATAAGCAGGACTAGTGGGTGCATCGTAATTCGGTTGAGTTTCATCAAAATCTATTTCCTCATCATCATTTTAATCAATAGTTGGATTAGAATAAAGAACATTCATTAATTTATGGTCTAATTGTTCACCAACTCCAATATTATGGCAAAATTAACTCCCATTAAATTTTAATAAACTATTATCGCTATCAAGAATAGGATGTGTACGATGGATATGGGGTTTGGGTCGGGGAGCCGGGGCAGTGGAGGAGGAACATATTGGCCATTAGATTCGCCACTCTTGAATTTTTCATTATTTTTACCAAAAAGTTTTTAAAGGAAGCCATGTTAATTAATCAAATAATAGAAAATCGATAAAACAAACAAAACTATAATATTAAAAATTAAGAGTTGGAACGAGTTTACCGAATTGATGAATAACTTGTTGAAAATTGATTATCGTTGAAGACTTCAATTCACCAATTTCACAATTTTTTCACAAATTGTAAAAATAAAGTAAACAATAATAGCAATTGTAGAAGAAAATTAGAGAGAGTTCTTTAACTTCGTTGCCGATCATGAAGACTTCCTGGATGTGATAAAGGATGGGTGGATGGAACAAGTAAATGGTATGGGCATGGAAAACATATGGACAAACTTGAAGGTGATTAAACAAGGGCTAAAGAAATTGAATACTATCCATTACCAAGGTATTGATATCAAAGTTAAAGAGATTAGGAGACAGCTTCAAAGCATATAGGAACAAATGAGAGATCATAGACAATCAAATGACTTGTATGAACTGGAGAGAGAGCTTAGGCTGGACCTCGAAAAATGGGGGCTTATAGAAGAAGGTATAGCTACATAGAAATCTAGAAACCAGTGGCTATGACTAGGGGATTCAAATACTTCCTACTTATATTCTTCAATGAAGACAAGAGTAGCACAGAATAGAATAAATAGTTTGGTAAAGGAAAATGGCCAAGTAATTCAGAATGAAGAGGCAATCACTAAAGAAATTCTTGGTTTCTACAAGCAACTACTAGGGACAAATGCTACAAGGATCCCTGCTATAAATCCAGAGGTGATGAAGGATGGACAAATTTTAAACAGGGAGCAACAATTGCAGCTTATTGAAACTATAACTAGGCAGGAGATCTGGGAAACTTTAGCAGACATTGATGATTAGAAGGCACCAGGGTGTGATGACTATAATGCTTTATTCTTCAAAAAATCATGGAGCATAACAAGAAGTGAGGTAACAGAAGTTGTTCTCTAGTTTTTTTGATTCAACTAAACTGTATAAGGCCATCAATTTCACCTCATTAACCTTGATCCCAAAGGTTAAGAACCCACCACAATAAAACAGTTTAGGCCTATTTCTTGTTGCACAGTGATTATAAAATTATCTCTAAAGTGCTGACTAGAAGATTACACAGAGTAATGGATATATTGGTAGATAATTGTCAATCTGCATTTTTACATGGGAGGGTCATCAGAGATAATATTATTCTAAGCCATGAGCTTGTAAAAGGATACAATAGGAAAGGAGTGTTTCCCAGGTGTATGATGAAGGTAGATATGCAAAACGCTTATGATTCCCTAGAATGGCCTTTCTTGGAGCAAATTCTTTGTAGCCTAAACTTTCGTGATATTTTTGTTCAATGGGTAATGGATTGTGTTAGCAGTGTGTCATACTCTATCATAATCAATGGGAAGCCTAGTGTGCCATTTCCAGCTAGGAAGGGGCTACGACAAGGAGATCCCTTGTCTCGTTTTTTGTTTGTTTTGGCCATGGAGTACCTCAATAGGTTGCTGAAGACATTGAGGAGTAATCCAGACTTTAATTTTCCTCCCAAATGCGATAAATTGCAGATATACAGCTTGGGTTTGCTGATGACCTTCTCATGTTCTCTAGAGGGGGTGTTATGTCAGCTCAACTTCTTTTCAACTGCTTCAACTATTTCTCTAAGGCTTCAAGACTTAGAGCAAATCTTGATAAGAGCTCAGTGTATTTTGGGGGTATTGGAAGAGATACACAGTTGGAAATTTTAAATGTTCTAGGCTTTACAAAAGGGGAGCTTCCTATTAGATACCTTGGTGTCCCGCTGAGCACTGAACGATTATCTGTGATGTAATGTTACCCTTTGGTTGACAAGATGCTGGGTAGAATAACCTCATGGAATACTAGACACTTATCCTATGCTGGGAGAGTTAAACTAATAAAGAATGTCTTATTTTCCATACAAACCTTTTGGTCCAAAATCTTTATTCTGCTCAAAAAAATTATTCACATGATTGAAGCAACTTGCAGAACATTCTTATGGACTGGGGGTGCTGCATTATAAAAAAAAAGCATTGCTAGCATGGGATAAAGTTTGTTTGCCAAAATCAGCAGGAGGCTACAATATTCTAAATGTTAAGATGTAGAATAGAGCAGTTATATGCAAGTTATTGTGGAACTTATGCCGGAAAAAAGNGGAGGCTACAATATTCTGAATGTTAGGATGTGGAATAGAGCAGCTATATGCAAATTATTATGGAACTTATGCCGGAAAAAGATAAGTTGTGGGTTCAATGGGTCCACATTTATTACGCTAAGAAGAGAGAAATTTGGAGATAGAACATAAACAAGCCTCTTAGATGTTGTTGAAGATACTGAAAGCTAAACATTACCTTACAGATATTGGTATTGATATTGATGAACTGAGGCGGATGCAAAACTTCTCTATAAAAAAATGTACCAGCTGCTATGTAGTATGTTTGTAAAGGTTCCATGGAGGAAATTGACTTGCAACAACTATGCTTCTCCAAAGTGGATATTCATTCTAAACCTGGCTGCTTGGGGTAGATTGAATACAAAGGACAGGCTGGCCAAATGGGGTATTGTAAGTGAACAGAAGTGTATCTTGTGTAAAGAGCAGAATGAGATCATTACACATCTCTTTTTTGAGTGCAAAATTTCTACTGAATTATGGGGAAAGATGCTTCTATGGCAAGGGATACGAATATCTGTTATGACATGGAAAGAAGAACTACATTGGGCTGTTTCCAAGATGAAAGGCGAGAATGTCAGTGCTGAGATCTATAGAATGGCCTTTGCAGGTTGTGTTTACTATATTTGGCAAGAGAGGAATCTAAGGGTATTTCAGAGTAACCAAAGAAGTGTTGGGATGATTACAAGATAAGTGATTCAAGACATATGCTGTAGAGGGAGCATGAAGCATACGATGGCCAGGAGGCTTGAAAGCTTAAACTTTTATCCATAACATAATTACACCGGTAGGTTATTACAGTAGATTATAGTAGGTGAATATTTCAAAACTCTCACCAACTACATAACTTCTAAAAAATTAGAGAGAGATTGATGATTTTGTTAGAAAAATGAAAGAATGAGGGGATATTTATAGTTGAAAATAGGGAAAAAGTATAATTATAAAAAGTTTGAGGTTAAAATAAATTTGGGGGAGGGGAGGGTTAAATGGCTATTTTGTAAATAGCCAATAGACCAAACGACTAGTTTTTAAATGCCCAAACGAACAGATATTTTTTAAAAAATTTTGAACGTTGGGACGGTTTGGGCCCGCCAAGGACTGGTCCGGTCTCGGTCCTAAATGGTCCCGGGCGTAGCAGTCCTAAAGTGAAGAACCGGCCTAGAAGATCGGACCAGACCCACATAGCTGGTTCTAACCGGTTCAGGCCCGTTTAGGCCCAGAAGCCCACATGGTCCGCAATCCTGGGCATGCCACCCTTACGTACAAGTATCAATCATAAGGAGCTGACTCTTTGTCCTAAGGAGCTGGTTCTTTAGAACAATTAAGCAACTACGTTGAGGACCTGACTCTTTGAACATTTAGCCATACTTTGTTTCATCAAAACATCAATACTCAACACAGTTTTAAACTATTTCTGGATGCTCATCTTCGTGATCGAGAAAAGTCCCACGCGATCGCGAAAAACAAAAATCACAGACCTCCAAATTTCTCTTCGCGAATGCGAACAAACAGCCGGGAATGCGGTGCATAGAAACTCAAAATCGCACGCCTCCTCACGCGATCTCGATGAACAAACGCGTGGCTTCCAGACCACCCCACATTCCTTCTTCCGAATGCGGTACAACCCACGCGTTCATGTTGTACTGATGACCATAGCTCTGCAATCGCATAGAAAAATTCTCACCGGTCGCCCAAACAACCCTTCGCGATCGCGTATAAGGAAACCAGAAGCACATACGTCAACAACTTCAGCAAATCTTCTAATTTTGTATTTCATCATCATATCGACCTTGAATATGACAAATGTTACCAAATATACTAAAAGCTCAAAACTAAAATTGGAATAAGCCCAACTATGTTGGGCGTGATGGTGCTTGATAAGTTATAGTTTTCTTAGCACGTTATGTTATCCGATTGACGATTTAGTGAATTGGAAGTTTCCAAGTGTATTATATATATGCTATCTGTTTTTATCTGGAATGCTATAATGGCTATAGAGATTGTTGACTCTTTTCCTCTGCACTGTATATTTGCCTCCTCAAATTTGGACACTTGCTCTTAATGTTTCTTAATGTTCAGTGAGGAGTTTTTTTCTTCTTTTCTTCGTGGTTAGCGGGATCGGATTTTGGTTTCGAAAGTTGGATTAGGTCCATTGTGTCATTTATGACTTGTGTGCAAAATTTGAGGTCAATCGGAGTTGATTTGATAGATTTCGGCATCGGTTGTAGAAGTTGAAAATTCAATAGTTTCATTAGGCTTGAATTGGGGTGCAATTCGTGTTTTTGATGTTGTTTGATGTGATTAGAGGCCTCGACTAAGTTCGTATCGTATTTTAGGACTTGTTGGTAAGTTTGGTTGAGGTCCTAAATGTCTCGAGTGAATTTCGGATGGTTAACGGATCAAAAGTTAGACTTGAAGCATTGCTGACGTCTTACCTTCTGGTGTGATCCTACATGTGAGGGTATCAACCGCAGGTGTGGCTAAAGTGACGCAGGAGCGGAGCTGGGTCTGGCCAAGGGAGTGTCACTAGGCGGGAAGAAGAAGCACTTCTGCGAGTCCGCAAAAGCAGAATGTTTGTCGCAGGGCGAAGTTTTGGAAATTGGCTTGGGCGCGCACGCACGGTCTCGCAGGTGCGATTAATCATATTTTAAACTATTTGGGATTTGGTATGAATATCCTTTTTCCTTTTTTCTTTTTCCACAGCCAGGCAGGAAGTTATATATCATGTCCATTAACTTCAGATTTAGCATTTACCAGAAAATTAACCTCAATCAGTCAGAGCTATTACTATAGAGATTACTGAAAGAAATTGTTAGGTTACTTTAAATCTAACAATATATCGAGAGACATAACGAACAAATCGATAACTAAATTCAAATCTATAGAGAGCAAAAGATAAACATCATGTACAACCTTAAACTGAGAAACCTTCCATTGTCAGGTTACTGTTATATCCACTCTTTTCAAAAAAAGTAGCTCAGTGCATTATCACTATGTATAAAGTCCAAAAAAGGGTCGAGCCGTATTAGGTTTATTATACGCACATTTACCTTATATTTTTGTAGGAATCTGTCTCAAAGCTTGGATATGTAACCTCTTGATCACTTGTTAGACATTCTATCATTGTGTCAAGGCTCTCTTTTTCAAATTGCTCTTTCTAGTCAATGCTAAAATCTTTATAACAGTGTTCTTTATACTTTGATGTCAAATTCAACTACTTGTGAATTGTGTTTATGTCAAGCTCTTAATTAATGGTAGTTTAACTATACTCAAACAGTTTCTTCTTTTCTTTTTCAAATAAAATTATTTCCATGTATACATATATGATGCTTGTGTCAAGTTTGACAATTATTTGGATATGCAAAAATGTAAGTAGTGCAGAATGCTAGATTAAACCTATATAGGATGTTGAAATGCTAACAATTCCTTTTCGTTAGTGTAAGTGATGCTGGATTAGGTGGACATCAACTTATCAAAGTAGACAACAAAAAGGTAAGATGCTTTCCTTAGTGTTACACTAACTTTAAGAAGTGGAAATCGTTAGGCAATTGTTGGAGGTCTATCATATTTGACAAAGAACACAGAGAATGTTTGCTTCATAAACTATCAACCTTTATTCTGAAAAACTAAGCATCTACCATTTGCGTCTGAGATATGTACTGAATGGACGAGACAATAAGGGGTCGTTTGGTATGATAGATAAGCAATGTGATAAAAACCTAGTATCACCTCATCCCTTGTTTGGTTACCAAGCTTGGGATAAGTTATCCCGCAATTAAAATTAGTACTGGGACCTGCAAGAGGGTGGAATACTAATCCGAGGATAAGTTATCCCAAAATAAAAGCAGTAAAATTGACAATCTCATGATTAATATAATATACCAAACAATTAATAAAAAATAATACCTGAATAACTAATCCTAATATAACTAATCCCAACATAATTTGTCTTCAAACCAAATGACCTCTAAAAGACCTCAAGCAAAAAGGATATACCCTTGAGTGCCTTCTACATTTGGATTTGCTCTAGGATTTTAGGATGCCTATTAAATTCTTCCTTTCTAACTTGGATTCTTACAAGGCTAAGAGTAGCGGATATGAATAGAAGACATGGAACACTTAGTCAAAGGATAAGAATAGTAGCAAGGTGAAGGTGTATTTCATTCATGAAGAGCTTGGTTAAGTGCCCATGACTGCGCTCAGGTGAGAAGCTACATATCCTAAATGGTGGTCAACTGACCACCCTTCCTCGTTACACTGCATATATAGGTAAAAATGATTGACATATAAAAAAGTTCGTAAATAAAAGAAAGACATAACTTCATATCATAAAGATAGTGAACTAGAAACCATATTTTGATTTGTTTGAGAATTTCAAAGATTGCTCTTTCCTCTCTACTATATGGCAGGGAGTCCCTCCAGCTCGTCTGGTTTACAAGTGCATATTCAGTATGCAAACTAAAAGGCCTGGTGATTTGTTGCATTGAGCAAAGTCGTATATTCATCATCTATTACAATAACTAAGTATTTTTACAAAGTATTAGCAAGCGGAGAAGGCAGAGGCGGATCTAGAATTTTTATAATATGGGTGCACCACTAAAAAAAGGAGTAAAAAAAAAGTATTAAGTGGGATTTGATCCCTGCTCCTCTAGATAAATAACTCAGAATTCAATCAAGTGCACCTTTTAGTCTCTTTGGAGCATGGGTGCTAGCAGATAATATTAGACCAATTCTAAAAAATATGTACATAAAATACCTAGTTTAGCGGAGAGATCATGGGTTCACATGCCCCATAGATTTACCTATAAATCCACCCCTGGGAGAAGGTGGTCAGAACAAGAGAAGACACGTCACTAAACAACAACATAGGAAAAAACAGATTCTGCTAAGCGATCTATCAGCCTGTGATAGTTGCCTTCTTAACCTTGGACTACTGCTGCCTGATAAATTATATGAACTTGGATATGTATATAAAGTAGTCGATGAGTTCCCAAACATCCGCGCATAAACCAATTCCCCTGTTGTCGTGCCACCAGGACTTAGCATAGGTTCGGGCATGTAGCTAGAAGTATAAGGTTGATGTGTTGGAGACTGCTGAAGTTGCTGGGATCGATGTGAATCACTAGGTGCTATCAGTGCGTGACCCCCACATCTCGGACTAGGAGGCCTTTGTGGTATGATTATACCAAGATTCGGGGCCTTTCCTTCGGATAGTTTTGTAGCTTGGCCGCGACCATAGAGTGGAATCAACGTTTTCTGTGATACTTCAGCTTTGCAAACAGGACATTGTGGTTGTTGGTGATCAGTATTTTCGGACGATTTGCTCTGAAAATGAATCCATTTATAGATGCAAGGCCAACAATAAAGGTGACCACAGAAGGTAACAACAGGATCATGCACAAGATCCAAGCATATATTACACTCAAAGCCTCCAGAGAGAATGTCGTCAAGCTTATCATCAACTGTCTTACACTTCTCCAAATTAATATCGCGTTCGTCAAAGTTGGTGTCTGTTATTTGCTCCTGGAAAACGTGCTCTAAGGCCATAGTATGCTTCTTGATGTAATTCTCTGTTTGCTAATATATGCCTGTTAAACATACGCCAAGATGAACAAGGTTAGATTCCAGGATATAAGACAGCTGCAATTCAGAAAAAGGTGGAGGTTTATAAAAACAAGAACAAACTGGGAACT